AAGACCCTGCAGCGTTTATGGATATTTTTCCCGAGTCATGAAAATTGGAAAACTACTCCCTTAGTTCGTAAACGGGCGGACATCATGTTCTACAGAATTTCTCTCCCCTTATGAACTGGAATACATTTCGTCGACAGGAAAAAAGCGATCGACATCTAATTAGCATGTCGTGGAATACTCATCAGTATCGGCGAATGGAAAAAAAGGAAGAATCTCTCAGCCTGGGGGAAGAGATGGGAAGACAAATCGTGGGTTTTATCTCGGGGAAAATTTCCCCTCATGCCTGGGCTAAGTGAAACAAATCCTCTCTACTCCTCGACCCGAAAACGTGGAAAATGCACGGACTCAAAAAAGAAAAAAAAAGGCTTTTGTTCTCGGTCAACTGCTCAACATTTTTCTTCTTCTCTTGCTCCTTCTCCTTCGCATGCCAACAATAGAGTAAGGGCAAAGTTTCCCCCCTCCCCCATTCTTTTCTGCCGTTCGCACCTCCTCAAAGGCTGAGCTTTTCCATCTCATAAATAGTTTTTTGCTTCTCACCGAAGCGCAACTTGAAGCTCCATGCAGAGGAAGCACACGGAAGAGTTATGACATTTCGGACAGCTGGTATTATCACAATGTCCATGTTACAATTTCATCCCATTAGTAAAGTTTAAGGTTTATTGAATAACAGTGAAAATATTATAGCAAAACTCTTTTTTTTTACTTTGGAGTAAAATGCAGAACGTCTTTGTTTAATAAAATTCGCATAAGCAAATACAATACTAATATTTATCTGAAACGTCTTAGATCAAAGCACCACATTTGTATATATAAACTTCCTGCACTGCAGGTATTTCCTGGTGTTGACATTATGGATCCATATCTCAGAAAGTGTGATTCAGAGCAGACTCAGTAGGTTTCCGTAACACTTGTTCAATGACCGGGAAGTAGCGTGAGCGACGATCAGGATAGCCAGAAACACAAAACAGATTGCGAGATATTGATGAACGAGGAGAAAGGAAGTAGAACGTAATCCGCTGGCAGGAGAAATATTTACAAATGCAGATTCCGTGTTCACCAAATACACAAGAGATAACTTTCTGTGCACGGAACGATGGAAGTATATGAGCGGGAGGAAGAAGAGAAAAATTCCTCGGGGTCAGGGGAAATGCTGATGCCACAGGCATAGAGAAAAACGACGGAGGTGTGCATCCGCTCCATATTTCATCGTCCCGGGAAATTGGTTTTCTTCCCCCAAGAGGAACGTAAGAGGAACATAAATTTGGAAGCATGAAACCGGCGTTCACACCCTCCTTCGACGTCTGGGAAAAACTTCTTGACAATTCTTGACAAAAGGGGTGGTCCGGTCTCGAATCCCTCTATTGACACGAAATCCTGGCCATCATATTTCATGATGTTTTCATCGAGGGATGGGGCCCCGGACAAACAACATTTCGTCGCGGCTGCGACTAATGGAGCCAGCATCTTTTTCTTTTTTTTCCGGCACGACTAGGCAGGCAACCTTGCCCTTGTCTAGTCATCCGCAGGTTTTTTGTTTTTTCCTCGAGTCATCCCCTGCATTTTCCATAACGTGCCGATAGGGGAAGGGACTTTGTTATCACCACTCGAGTGAGAGAGTCTATGGTTTTTAATGAGACACGTTCTCACGGATCTGCTCGGGTGACTGTGACCCACCACTTCCTCCTCCATTACGGATCATGAACTCCTCCCTATCTCTCAACCATCTCCACCAATTTTCAAAAATAACCCTTTTTTTTTAACTCCTAACGCATTCGTTGCCGGACCGATTTTGCTGGCAAGGAAGGAAACATTACTGTCACACATATACGACTGACATGGCGGGGAAAGTGCCAAACATGTATAGCATATGCGTGCAATATCCGATAAAATATCAATGGCTGTTTGCACTGCAGCAGAACACATGAAGATTGTTCACATTTATTTTTCCAAACTTTCCCATTGACTCTAGCCTGAATTAATTTATTTCCCGTTTCGCTGAAGGAGTTTTTTTTAGGAATTTCTGGAGGCTGCTTTCGACAAATGCCTATGCTCTGTCTCTATACTCAATACTCGACGAGTCGAGTCCTGCATTAATTTGACTGTATTTTACATTGTACTTTTCATACCTAATTAGCCAAAGTTCGACGGCTGAGAGGTATCCATCGATAACATCGCTCCTTATCGCCATGCAAAACCCTTTATACTTTTTATTTGGCTGCTTCCTCTCTTTCAGCTGGTAATCATTGCAGTCAGTTTCACTTCAGTCACTGGCGTTTTTTCTTTTTTTTTTTAAGTTTCACTCTCGACGTTGGCCAAATCAAAGAAGCATATTAAGTGAGGGCTTCACAATCTATAGGACCAGAAATTCATGAGAAAACATCTCCAGGAGGCGCTGACAAGGGGCTGGGGAAGAAAATAGATTTCGTCTGCTCGGTCGGTGGTGTCTTTTCAAGTCAGCTGGATTTCTCACCGAGAAGAGGGGGGAAAGGACCATCGAGAACACACCAATCAATATTCTGGCCCCGGGTGATTAAAATTCAGCATAAAAAAGGGACTTTCTTCTCCGAGGGTTCCTAAAGCCGTCCCTGAGAAGGATCAGAGGGAACTGAGGGGCTTCGAAGAAACACTCGCTGAATGAACTCTCGTAGTCTATGTGGATTATCCTCCTTTCGCCCGTTTAGTCTCCATTTGCACGCCCGACAGGTAAACAGGGAAGAAGTAAGAAATTTCCAACGCCCCAAGGGAAAAAAGGGGGGAAATCGATACAAGAAGACCGGTATAATCACATGGAAGGATCGGATGTGGGTCACAGGAATCCGATTTCTCCTCCGGCATGCCTATGTGCTCCGAACAAAACAACGCACACACGGGTGAAGTAACTAAGCTCTTCGTGCACCTACATTTCTTATCCCAGGTTTCTGCCTCTGCAGATGCTTCACTCCAAATTAGAAGGATATGAATTGATCTCAAATATGTATAACGGCTTTGAATGACTACAACTACTATAGAGAAGTATGCCACATCCCAACCATATAATCGTTAGAAGGTTCCTGACGTCGGTTTTGGTACTCTTCTAACAGCATCCCCCTGAAGATGCTTAACTTCTAGGTTCTTCTCTTCTAAGTTTTTAGAAGCACTAACCTTTCATTCAAAACTCATCTAATTTTTCCTGGGAAATAAAATTAGGGTATGTTATACTTCATGACAATAATTCGCGACTTTGAAAAAGCGATTTGCTTGAAGGGTATGGGGTTCACGCGAAATTTTTGATGGGGAACCTCGGTGGAAATCATTTTCGAGGTCAAGTAATTTCTGAGATAGTCGTTATGCATTAAAAAAAAATGAACATGTGCATTGAGAAATATATTTAAACATCGAGCACGCCGACACTCTCAATTACGGATTGTATCAATGGGCTGTTTTGGGAATCAGATTAATCCAATCGCATATATGTTCCCATAATAAAATCAGATCAGTTCAAGATAATCTGCTCAGTTTAGATTCTATTTACCAGTTTCAGTTTAGGTTCGACAAACTCTATGTGCATTGAGAATATCCCATTGAATTTTCAATTATATAAGAATAAATGACAAGATGAAAAATGAATGAGAGGAAGAGTAGGGGGGGAAGGAAAAATGTGAGTAGACATTACTGGTTTCAGCTAGGAATGGTTCATAGATGTTTGTAAGAAACAACTCGGAATGCCGTTTATCCGGGATCCTCATCCGTGAGACATCGCAAGGCTCTTTCCAATTCCTATTTACTTCCCTCAGGAACAATGGCTTTTTTTAAATACATATAAATCTAGAACCTCTCTCGTGTGGCACATGCTTGGAATATGATCCACGACCTTGTCTTCTTTCTTTCCTATAACCTGGGGAACAGAAGGAAATGGGCTCTTCGTGTTATGACCAAGGCGTGATGGATTCTCTTTTTATCCAGACCGGAATCCTTCAAAGGGGGCTCTCTCCCAACAGTGCATGCCATGAATGCATTGGAATCCGGAGACCAAAACGGACTCGTCCTTCCCTCTCTGGGTTCTCTCCTGTGCAACCGAGCGCATGTGAGCTAGAGGTTCTCAGCACACGAACCATGGTCACAAGTACCTGCGTCCTATTTAAACTGGGTTTTATTTTCGCGGAATTCTTTTCATTTTATTTTTTTGAGTTTGTTCAGAACCAAATATCGTCGACGGGAATGCAATCAGGGAGTCATAATCGAAGCTGAGCATGATTCAAACCTGTATGAGTCATCGGGAGTGGGTATGATCGTGCGATCGCGAATATAATACCCAAGGTCAAGTTGAGGATTTGGGGAAATGGGATCCGGGGCGGAGTGATCACGGACTTCCCGCGGTATCACCACACAAAACTTCTGTGATAATGCATCCGGAATCCACCATACCTTCTCTTCGTGATCTCATTCCGATATGTCTGATATTCAAGTATGTCCCATGACGGGAGTGAAAGAAAATGCAGGAACCTGCCAGGTCTCCCAGATAACCACCTCGGCTTGCAAAACTTGCATTCCGTTCGAATTCTCGGCAAAGAATGCGTGCCTTGCGAAGCACCTTTCTGTGCTTCGGAAATAGGACGCACTACAGAACAGGCTGTCACCAAGAGCATAGGTTCATATATCACACCTGTCACCAAACTGGGTCGCCATGTTCAAGTCCAGCCGGAATCGAATCGTTGCGATAACGTCGTCACGAGACACATTGTTAGAATCCAAGTCCAACGATCCAAAGGTCTTCTTACTAATAGCAGACGCTAATTTTAATACCGATGGAAAACGCCCTGCAGAAAGGTTTAAGCCTTGTCCCAGTAGAATGAGCGAACCATATGGTTCGGTTGGCAAGATGTCATGCAAGCAAAGTTTGCTTTGTCATCTGTCGCCACAAATGGAGAAGATGTCTTGAAAAATGCTGTCATGTCACCATTCGACCAGAAAAAGAGAAAAAAAGGAAGAAAGGGATTTCTTTTTTCCCCAAGATGACTCACCCAGAGACTCCTGATGAGGAAGGGGCACTGCTCGGGAGGGGTACGATCACTGATGGCAACCGTAACGCCTTCATAACCGTTGTCACGGAAGGTCACGGAGTCACGCCGGGCCTCCGAGGTCACCACCATCAAAAACAAGGTCACTCCTATACTCAACTGCCACATCGAATGCATTTTTCACGGTCCAGAGTGCATCCTTGTCGTGATGGAATCCTGCACTACAAGGAGGAAAAAAAAGTGTGATGACGCGAATGGGCCATCTGATACCCTCGTCCATTAATCATCAAAGCGGAATCCTCTTACGATAATTATTAGCCCATATGTAAGAATTCTAGTCCCGTTGAGTCTTCCAGCTGATAGATTTAAAAAAAAAGATAGAAAGGGAAGCGCAATTATTCATCGTTTCCCATGACAATGACTGCAAGCCAGCTCACGCCCAAAACCAACCGGATAAACAAGAGAGAGGACAAAAAAAAATTCACAGCCCGGAAGCACGGACTCTGGAGGGGGGATTTAACAAGCGTGTCTGAAAAACTGCACATATGCAATCAGTGGAACCCACGGAACATGACCGACGCGAAAATACGAGCAAAAATGATGAGGGAAGCCAGGTCGGTCGTTTCTGCTCGGATTCGCTCGAGGAGATACCCCCTCCAGAAACCATATACGAGCTAGGAGGAGATACCTCTAGTGCGTCCATAAAGAGCCACATGGAACCCAAACTAAGTTTTCGCGATCGACTTTTTACCAGTTCAATGTTGCATCGCGCCAGGAAGTACACCCGAGGGGTCGTCACCCAAGTATGACGGAAGGAAGTTGAAGATGACACCTGATTTCCAGCTGCAGCATAAGATAACAACGCTTCCAACGATAACGAGTGCAAGAAAAAATAAAACTGATGGCACGCAAGACTTCGATTTTCCCCAAGTGGGACGGAAAAGCAGCACTTTTTCCATCTAACGACCAGAAACGTGCTTCGGTCTGCCCTGGATTCGGCTATTTGTTCCCGTGATGTTCCGGCGGTGATACGTGCCGTCGAAAGAGGAAATCGAGTGGATATACTATCGTACAACCAAGGTCAACTGTGCAGACGATGGCTATTCGTGCCCAAAGGATTGGCCAATGATGGTTCGCAAGGGCGTGCCGTGGGGTAAACCCAATTACAAGTGAGGATTTATGCCGGCAGGTACTTCTCTTACATCGCATTCTGTATAATGGTGAGGAAAGGCCTTCAAAAGAAAACTGGCCTGGTTCCCAGGAAAATAAAAAGGTATCTACCATGCAAAGCAATGTCGCCTTCTCCCTCACTCCATTCACTTTCTCCTGACCCGTTTTCACTACAGCTGCCTTGGCTGTGCGATATGTCTTAATGAGAGCAATGTCTAATTGCTCGGAAGAGAAAACCGGAAGCTCGTGATGAAATAATTCTTCTTTCTCTTATATGCATGGGAAAGTATGACGAGCGTGTGAAATTTAGGTCAGTCACTCTCGCGAGGAAAACATCCAGCTCTATACTACTGTTGCAAAAAAATAAATAAATAAATAGTTTTCATTTTGGCCACGGACGTGCCGCTGAGGATCTACTTATGCATTCACTCACTCTCAGTCAGTGCATACGGTTCGTAAATTATGCAATGTGCAAACAAGGGTCCATTTGGACCTCCAAAACTGGGTCGAGCACGAACGTACGTATAAACCATTCAAACTCAAAGCTTGTATCGCAAAGAGACGATACCAGTTCACAGGGTTATTCACTGAAAAAAGACATGACATCGATGCCACACTGCACGGAGAAATTCCACATGGCCTCGGCAATTCGTCTCACCTGACACGTGGTCTCTTGTGCTATCCGTCCACGTGAGCGCGCACGGAGGAGAAGCACCACCAGCAGCGAGGACGGCCCGAGCCCGACTGGATGGGGAGGGAAGGGGGACGCAGAGGGCAATGGGTGAGGGCTGCGGGAGCTCGGCTATCCCCTTCCCTGCCTCTCTCCATCCTCCACCCCCCTATCCTTATAACTGGGGGTCACGCGATTGATGTCATCACTACGAGGGAATCGCATCATCATCATCGTTCATTTACACCTATCAATCATGGGAAAAGACCTCGCTTCAAAACTCGTATCGATTTCTGACGAGATGAACAAAAAGGAACAACAAATAAATAAAAACCCACCGACCACTCGCGTGAGTCATCTATAATCTGCGTGAAACTGAAAGGCATCCCATGGTATTCAATAGCTTTTGTTGCTGTACTAGTGGAATCGAACCCGGGCCTTGTATTATTTGAACAATGAGTCGATGGTGACCTCAAAAAGTAGGCAAAGCCCGTGTTAACTCATGTACGAGCTGCTCTGTTTCGCATCTCTTTCTAATAAGCCTAATTTTCCATCTCTGCAAGTCAGCTTTTCCATTGTCTTTTCTTACTTTGCGTTGCCGGAACGAGCTGGAAAGGTGACCAGGGTATTACTCCAACAAGATTTTTCTTTTGCCGATCAGAATACTTCTCACGGACAGGTGGCCTAGAGGAGCAACTTTTTGTGAGTGCGATTTTTTGTCGAGCACAAAGCCTGCGTTCCGTCGGTATCATGAGCATTGAACTTTTTTTTGTTTGATGGTGAAAAGAAAGCGTGTGTGAGAGTGGTATGGAGAAAAGGTTTCCGCTACATCGCCTCGCCTCACAACAAGGCTGCCTCCATTCACTGCCAAATCCGGGAAAGAATTCCGGTCAAAACACGAGATTACGGATTGCGTGCGCAGACCCTCCAGCACACTCGATAAACAAACTCACAACATGAGATCCCGGATAAATTTGCCATCTTTCTAATTGTTTGTCGTGGGGGGTTCGTGCTTTGGAATAATAATGCTGGAAACGTGTTTAGGGGACTTGTCACTCGCAGCGGCAGGACTTTATTATGCTTCGACATGTCTCCGACCCAAATGCCTAAAATTCCTTCTCTTTTCAACTCTTCCCGAGGTGATGACAACATGCATAAACAAATCCATTCATACCTATTGTATTCTATTCAGGAAAGTGTGCGTCCGACGTATCCAAGACAGATGGATATTAGGGCGAGGAGAGAAAGAAGGCGAAAGGGTTTCGTTATGACGAAACCGAACTTGTCTCTCCCTCCATCTTCGGGTTTCCTTAGACCCATTGTATTCAAAAATCTCGAGTCTGGAATGTATCGTACGTGATCCCATTGTCTTACCCCTGGACGAGAGGCATTTTCGATAGACCAGAAACAGGACCTCTGCCTATATATATATCAAATAATAAAAAAGGGGGGAGGGTGAGGTATGGGGGTGCTGAAAGAAGAGATTGGTTAGTAGTGATCGTTGGCAGCAAGCACTGGCCTTTCACCTCCTCCCCTTGTCGCATTACCCATCAGAGCTTCTTCCGATTCAAAACCACCCACAAGAACTTCTTCAGTTCTCATCGAACTTGGGAGAGGTTAATCTTGGAGTGAGATGACTTTCTCAGAGCTCGACAAATTTCACAAAAAGAAATTGAAAAACTTTCCTTCCTTTTGCCTTTTTCAGCGAGACTCCTTTCTTCGGAAAAAAATAAGCTCCTTAAACGATTGCTCGGGTGTCTGCAGTTTGTCAGTGCGAAACTCCCCCCCAACGTTCGCGGAAATACTACCGCTTCAAATCTCACAAACATTTCACAGCTCATAAATTCGGTTTTCACTTAAGGATACATCAGCAAATTTATTCAATCATAAATTTGAAAGGAGGAATTCGCCGCAGAGAAACATGATGGTGTAAACGGGGCAGCGAAATCCCTGCTAGGCGGTTTGGGTCGGCGTCGCCCCTCCGTCGTTTCTACATCCAACATTCCTACGTCTGTTGCTTTTACCCCTGCTATGCCCCCGTCTGTCGCTTTTACCTCTGGCGTCTCCGTACCCGCCACTACTACCACCGCCATCCCTGCACTCATTCTCTTCTGGTATCAACTGTGAACCTATAAGCTAACAGGACGCGTTTGGGTTTACGTTTTATTGAATTTTACCTCAATAGGAAAAAATATTTTTTAAATTTCATATTCTAGTTTCCCTTTTCATATAGAGACGGATACAGGTACCGGAACTTTTTTAACGAGCTATGTACGGACTATCAAAAAGGACAGAGGAAAAAATAGTCCCAGGAATGTCACAGCCATGGCCTTGACATGGGGGGGGGGATGAGAAGAGACCTTAAAAAAAGGACGACCCAGGAACCATAAATCACATCACAGTGAGACTAGAGAAGCCCATGAATGGAAGGGAACATGGCCAGTCACATTGATATCTACTATAGCGCCTGGGCAAAGACCTGTAAGACCCGGGGAAAATGACACAAGCACTTTCCTTTGTCCCTCCTGATTCTCTATGCCCCTCACACATGACTGACTCCCCCTTCTTTGCCTTGCATCGATATCCCATCAATCACGAACGGATAATTGGGTTTAATCAGGCCGAAGAGGGCGTGAGACGTCCGACGCTGCACAAAAATTTTTCTCCCTTGCAAATTACCCCGCCGATCCCCCCTAGGACCGTCTTGCGGATTCATTTTCATGGTCCCTTTTGAGCTGGAAGTGTCCTCGAATGTGGGATGGAGTGAATAAGGAAGTTAAGGGGACTTTAGAATGCTTTCAGCAGTGGCGGCAATGACGGCGATGGCGTTGAAGAGTCACGGTGTCTGTAGCAACAGGATGGACATTTCTCCTCCGTTTCTGGAAATCCTTCAACTTATGCTTACCTTCTGGGCGGTCTCACCCCAGGGAATCTATGCACTGCGTGCCAGAATTAACACTTCATCGTACGACTTGTCTTGAGATTGGTCTTAGCCTGATTTCATGGTACCGTTGCAGAGTAAATGCCTGCTGTAAGAGATGACGTGAGACCGATGTGAAGTCTCGGGTGAAGTGTTCCTGGAGTATCATCGCTGATAATAGCTGAAATCCGACCGGTCGTAACGGCTCCAATCAACCCACATCTTTCATCCCATCTGCCTGTCTTACATCCCATCATGAACCATCTTCAATCATTATAGAACTTGAACCCATCGACATTAACTAGTACCGGCAGAGGGTTCTCGGTCGTCGAGTCGAAGTGAGAAATCTGACTATTCCCTTCACATTTATCGAAAGATGCATAATTCGTCTACATTAACTTATACATGATTTAAATTCACCTCCGAATCACCCAGAAAATAATTTTAACTCCTAGTTTGAGCTTGAGAATGGTTTATT